TGAGGCGGAAGGATCGCCGGAGCCCAGCAGGTCGAGGCTGCGGTGGCCGGGAGCGGCCACTGCACTCCAGTCTGGGTGACAGAATGAGACTCCAACTCAAAAAAAACAACGAAAATAAATCTAATCTTCTTCAGTTTGCTATGTGCTCGGGAAATATTTACTAATTTTAATAACAGTTTTAGAAAAAGAAATTCAGCTAAATTTGGTGAAGAAGAAAGTTAACTTCACATGATTTGAGCGTGACGTTATTTTGGAATACCCACTCTTCCTTTTCATTGAGATTAACAACTTCATGTTGACTATAGAAGTAAAATACTTACCAGTCACAGTAAGGCTTTTTTCATGGTTGATCAAATTGGAAGTTTGATTTCTTTCTTCATTTGCTTTGAGCATATGTGAAGATACTGAAACTTTTCTTTCATTCTGATGCTTATTTGGATTTTTGGGCAAGAAAAAGAATGGTATAGAAGAAATAATGGATAGTAGTCCAGACACAAGGAAACTAAGCCACCAAGCACCTACCCAGCGTGCGTCTTTAGGAGTTATTCTAATAGTGCCTGGAATAAACAATTAGAAGTCAGTCAAAAATCATTTTGGAAAGCAGTAAGTTCTAGAAATAATGATAGCTGTCCTCCACAGATGAAGAAAGTAAACTATATGTCATCAATACTAAGACACTATTTCCTTTTTTCTAATTTTGTCACCTCTGAAACCATGACAAATCTAACATTTTATGAAATCTTGCAATGTATTCCAGAATTCAGTGACAACATTGTTGTCATTGCCTAAGCTTGGGTGAACTTAACGGCTGGACAACGGCCATCATTAGACATTAAAGTCTGCAGATCCCTAGATCTTAGATATTTATGGAAGAAATATAAATCCTTATTGTTTTCTGCAACTTTCTATTGGCACCATCATATGAGGTCAACAAAGCACCAGCAATAACATTTAAGCTATAATAGGATTTCCTTCTACAAACCCAGAAACCTGCATTGCCAATTCTCCAAACAGACCAGGGAATGAAAAAATTACACACAATGAAAATATGAGTGCAAAAAACAACCTAGAAGAGTTGAGTTCTATATGTTAGGAATAGTTTAAACATTTTATTTCCACTTTATTTTCCTTTAGAGCATGCATAAGAGTAACTTGGAAATGCTATTTCTCAAGTGTCAACTAGCTATTTCAGCAGATATAAAACAAAATCTAGGTAAAAAGAAAGCATGTATAAACACTTTGGTTTCTGGATTTCTTTGAACACCAGTCAGAAGCCTTGGTCAATGGTTGCCCCATTTTTGGTGGTGGTGTTGTTACTATGAAAAGAATAGGCTATGGCAGAGGAGCACATGTGCTTTTGGGGGTGGGGAGAAAATTCACCACCACCAATTTCCTGTATCTGACACTCATAACTCATTGATGTTATCCCTTTAGCTCCTCTAGGCATTGGAGTTTGCCAACGTATGCTTTATACTGAGTCACTTCATACTCATTACTGAATAAAAGAAGATATAGTGAGGTCTGAATAGTCAGTGTTAGAAATGGAGTCACCATGAATTCTAAAGTAACATAATAGTTCTGGAAAGAGTAGAGAGGTTACAAAACTATTATCTTAAAGATCTTTACCACTTATTTTTACACTCTAAGTGATAGAAATAATGATGAAACTGAATGTGAATGAGTAGAAATAATGTAAATAATGTGTAGCTGCTCTAAGTCACATGTCTAAAATAGCAGATATAAAACATGTCATGAGGTACTTGCTCTAGTATTGTATCAGCAAACACTTTCAAGTGTGTGGCTATTGTTAGATTACTGTCCTGTCTACTCTATTTCAGAAATGAATCATTTGATCTCCTTGGAGTGATTTACTAAAGTCCTGGTAAGATAGAAAACAGATTTGTGTATTTATGGACACTAATCAGTTATTATATGTTAAAACAGATATCATTCTGCCATGTTCTAGGAGAGGTGGCAGGTTAGTACACACATTTTTATAGCTCATTGTGATAAGGGCTACAATAAAGACATATTCTTAATGATTAAGGGGACACCTAATTTGGGACCAAAAAAAATTGTAAAGAAAGGCTTCTCTGAAGAGGCGCTTCATTGTGGAAGATACTTTAATAATTATTCAAATAAAAAAGAAAGAAAAATCTTTCCAAGTATAAATGCAGGAATATGAGTACGGGTCATAGTAATTCAGTCAATAATTGAATTAAGATAAAGATATCAAAAGAGGGAATAAAGGGAGCAAAATGAATTTGTGGGTAAGATGATAAGACCTGGTTTTGACAGGTTGAGTTTTAGACATCTAAAAAGAAAACAGAAAGGTACTAGCAATATCACTTAAAACAAATTCTAAAAAAGTATCCATTAGAATTAGCTAATTATGTGAAAATGTGCTTTATTCACAGATTATAATAGACTGAGAAGTGGATATAGGTTAGAAGGCAAGATATCTAATTTAGATGATTTTTTTTTCCCTAGATGGTTGGCTTTGAAGAGAAATGAAAAAGCAGAGAATTAGCTAGAAAGTTATTTGGGGATATTAAAAAAATGTATAGATGTAAAAAGACAAGAAAGACCTAAGTGTGCTTGCTGAGGAAAAGAGAAGAAGAAGACGCAGGCAGAAGAAATTTAAACCCCAGGTAGATCTATGAACATAGCCCGAATAGGGACATATTTCCACTGAGTTGGGAAAAGGTCAGGTAAAGATGAATATGGTGCAGGTATATTTGTAGGAAGGAGGCCTGAAGCTGAGGCAGCTTTTCTAATATGGCCTTTCTTTCTTCTATGAGGTAAGAAAGAGGCTGGTCTGAAGGTAGTGAGTTATCTCAGTTGATTGTTCATAGTCAGTTACAGATTGAACTTCTTTTTCTACTCTCTCCTCCCTTCTCACCACTGCACTTGACTAGTGTTTTAAAAAAAGAGAGAAAGAAAAAGCTCTGAGAGCGGAGGGGAAGATCATAGATGTCATTTGTGTGTGCACTTCTTTATTCATTTGTTCAACAAGCAGTTATTGAATATTGCCATATACAAAACCCTCTGCTTGGAACAGAAAAAATGACCATAACCAAAGTACAAAATGACTGTGTAAACCACTCCAGCCATAAGTCATTGTAGCAGTCACAAGAGGCTTTCGCAAAGCAAACTCTAAGTTCTACACTTCAACATTTAAACCATCATTAATTGAAAAATAAAATTTATTTGACTAAGCAATCGATTCTGGGAGAAGGACATTTTAAGTCCGGTCATTCTGGATCAAGTAATCTAAAATAAGATTGGCATATAGGTGATAAATTTTATTTTTATTCTGATTATTAATCCATCTATTTCTTACTTGTAACTTTTGAAAAATAGTAAACAAAAAACTATTGAACGAGAGAATCATATTATTTGGAATAATAGTATCCTGCATTTGAAAGACACTATCACGGTATCTTGCTCTCATTGTACTTACTCAGATCTACATATCCAACATCCACGTATATTCTGGCAAACAGAGATCCCATGATAAAGCCAATGATTGGACCAATCATTCCTACTGAATTCAAAATACCTGAAAATATTATAAAACAACTTTATGAGATGCCAAGAACACATGGTTCTTAGTCAATATGCTTTTAAAAGTAGGATTATACAATACACTTCTCCAAATAATTTTTCTAATGGGTAAAATAATAAATTTAGTGACACTATTATTTCATGGGTAGATCAAAAAAAGTAACCATACAATTTAATATTTTTGTGCATTACCTAAATACAAAGAAGAATATCCTTCTTTTGCAAAATCATCAATGTAAGAAATCCCCAATGGTACAATGGGGGTTTCTCCTATTCCACGAAGCATATTACCCAAGAAGACATAGATCCACATATTTGACCCAGCTTCCTTTCCACAGCCTATATAGACAAAAGAATGTTTTATTTTAAACATTAATTTTGGCATTCCATTAGAAATTCAACTTCTTTAAGTCTTTAATTATTCCATTGAATGTTTTTGCTCTTTTCTAGTAACAATTTATAGTCACATTTCTTTCTTTCTTTTTTTTTTTTTTTTTGAGTTGGAGTCTCACTCTGTCGCCCAG